GTGAGATTGAATGCAGCGGCTCGGGGAACTTTTCAGGAGTTATCTAGGAGTGGCAGCACAGAAGTGGGGGCAATCGAAACCTGGATTAGTCTGAGCAGCAGTGCAGCAACTGCGTCTTCTCTGTTGTGACGAAGCATTCCAGGCCAACTAGCCCCGCCTTCGGCTTCTGTGATAACCTTGTTTGTAGGTGTCAAGATCAGCAGCGCTCGTGCTCCCTCAAGTTGGCTTTTCCGGGACTCCGCAGAAGTCCTTGTGTCAGGTGGTAACCACTGCATTCGCGTCCTGAACTACGACTCGGGACGCGTTGCGACAATCGCAGGCTGGACCCATTCGTGGCATCCCACTCAGCCGTCGTTGCAAGCACGAGGCTCCAAGGACACGCGAGGCTGGAGGGATGGGTCGTGCCCCAAGACTGTGCCGTCAGCTAATGCGCGAAGCACTCCCTGCAATGTAGAAATGGATTTTGACTGTCGAAGCGGAGCACATCGAAGCATTGAAGCATTGCTCATGGCGTGAGGCCTGGACAGGAGGCTCAATTCGACGAGCCTTCTGGCTTAGGCATGGACTCTGAAGGCGTCGGAAGCATTGAAGATTCAGTCTTTCTCTCTCTTTATGCTCGTTGCGAAGAAGATTCCGTTGTGCCATCTGAGAGCCTTGTAGCTGCGCAGCTGCAGTGGATGTCCACTCGAGCCGTGCTCTGAATCCCCTGTGACTCCCTGAGAGCTTTCAACTTCTGCCGCCAGTGGCATGGCCTGGGAGCTGGATCCAATGCATGGACCGAGCAGTTCAACGCCAAGGAAGTGTGGCCACACATCAAAGAGGTGCCGACAGCAGACCACAATTCCTGCGACCAGGGGGAGGCGCAGAGCTGGGATGTGCGCAGCTTGCTAAATCAGATAACAAGAAGCACAAAAGCTGTCCACAGGGGGTTTTTCAGATACTGCACCTGTGTCCTTTAAGGCCACCAGTGCCGGCGAACTTTGCCCTCAGTCAAGCCTTGAGAGCACTCGCCACATGACCCCGAAGCCAGCCACGGTCGGAATACCGAAAACGGGCGCTGCCGCTACTGGTGCGCACATTCAGCTTCGCGGCCTAGCGGCGGGGCGATCAGAGGTCGGTCAAGTTGATGAAGCTCCGCGATGTTGGGTTGGCGAAGAGAAGGGTGTTAAAGAAGACTTTGACCAACACGATGCTTGGGGGCCACCAAGGTCTCAGCGCTTGCAAAAAAGCGGAAACAAGAGAGTCTTCAAGAGAATCCTCCAAAGACCAATACGCCCTTGCCACGTAAGGGAAAGTGGATTTTTGAGCAGGTGTGGCCCACCAAGGCAAACTGTTCATGTGTTTTTGGGCAAATGCCGACCGCAACGTCACGTGACAACCGCAATGTCCAGAACGGTGCTGACTACTTATACACTTGCCAAATTTTGGAGGGTGGGAAATTTTTAGGCATTGAGCACCCGGGCCTATTTGGACAAGACGTTCAGCGGAGACGCATGCGACACTCAGAAGAAGGCAGCTGACTCGACTCCGATGTCATGGAGACGGCAGCTGCATTGCCGCCCCTGTTCTGGATGCACCGAAGCTATGCCAAGGACATCGTTCGTCCCTCAGCAGCAGGGCCCCTCTCGTGGGTCTGCCGAGTTCTGCTAACGGCCCGCGACTCCTGGAACAGCTTCAGAGAGCGTGGCTGCAGGACTGCGCTATGGGATGCATTCCTTGCTCTGATCGTTAGCCGCAAGAAAAGCATGTCCAATTTTGACTTGGCACCCTGTCAATGGATACAGCGCTTCCGCGTTGCCATAGGATGCATGTTAAGCAAGTGTTTTGTACCTGAGGTTAGGGAGGAGATGTGGTTTTCGTGGATTTGGTTCGTGCTTGCTTGTCGAACGCTCTTTTAAAAAGCAGCCGGTCGGATATCTGCATTCACCATGTACATGAGTGTACCGTCGTGTGGTACTTGGGGGATGTGGCTGCTTGCATGGCCTCGGTGGCGTGACCTGTCGTTTGCCAGCATGTTCACCGCTGTGGCAGCAAAGTCCCAGGCAGAAGCCTGGGGCTGAAGCCCTGAAAGCGATCGGGGAGTGGGTGTCTACGTTTGCACCTTCCAGAAACCATGCCGGTCGAGGCGTCTTGCTTTGAAACAAAGCCATGGTTTTGACCGTGGATGGGTACGGCCACCCATCCCGTCTGAAGGAGGAACGGAGACAGCTGGAGGCTTTGTGCCAGAGGCCGAGGCCCCAAGGCCGATGATAAGCAAAGATTGCAGCGCGCTCGCTGACTCCAAGCCCATCTTCTCCGTGGAAAAACACCCCAGGCCCGTCCGAGCCGAGACGCCGGCTTCCGGCCCTACGCCCTACGCACTCCGTGGCAGTGGTGCCGTTTGAGTCTCGTGCAACGCAGCTTGGGCCCCCGGGACATGGTGACAGTGCAGCAGCAGCGGGGTTTGTTGTGGCTCGTACTTGTTATCGGAAATGATTACACCAGCGCATCCGGAAGCCCAAGCCAGCACACCGCCCTGCCTGGACAGGTCTGCATCTGTTCGTGCTTGACAACTTCCGCAGGCTTTTGGGGTTAACACCTTCTTGTGACGGAAGTAGCCGCTATGGCCACAACTTGCAGACACCTTTAGAAGGCCATTCATCTCCTGCTGGCCTTCTCCCGCGCTCCTTCGCAGGATCCGCTACATCGAGCTCTATCTCAAGAAGAAGACAGCCCGGGCCCCAGGGTCGCCGCTCAGATGCAGGCCCTTGGCCCCCTGGGTTGTAGGAATGGGAGAATCTCCACTTGGGCGCATGACCACGCGTTGAGAGGTGACCACCCTGGTGGGGGGCGCGTGCCGTGCAGTTTCGCGGTGGACGGCCCGATCCCAAGAAGTCTTCTGCTGAACGGCGGTGCTGTAGCCGCCCAACGGCAGGTTTCGTTTGCATGTCCTTCCTGCGGGTCCCAAGAAGCTCTCGGTCGGCAGTCCATCCGAAACTGTTCTAGACAAGGTCTACATAGTGAGGTGATTTATGGAGTATCGATTGATCGGACCGGTGTTGCGATCGCCCTTGGAAAACCATCTCTACGTAGGCGTGGGAAAGCCCCGAAGGAAAGAGACCCTTATCGTCTGAGCTGGTCCCTGTCTTGAACTTGCTTTGGCAGGACTATTACTCCATCATCCAGCGGCGTGTGGGTTGTCACCCGGATGCTGGGACCAAAATGCTCTGGACTTTTGGCTGTTGCCAGGGCAAGGCCGTATCAATACCTGGTCCATTTCGAAACGAAGTTCTGGGGCCCGCATTTCGTTCAGGCCCACGGCAGGCTCTTCGTCCTCCCACCCTGTCCCCCAGCTGCTTCTCTCTGTTGGGGTTTATTAGAACGCCCACTCCGAGCTGGAACCAGAAGTTGTCTTCTCTCCACTCAGGACTGGAAGGCCACAGCCGCCAAAGAACCGGTCGGGTGCTTGGGCATGTGACGGCGATGCGAGGTGGCGTTCTCGTTTCGGGGGCTCTTTGATTCGTGCTCTCAGGTGGACGTGTTCGTTTCTGGGGAGGGCATCTTCTTCTGTGCCGGACACAAGGTTGGCCGGCACTCCAACAACGTTTTTCAGGGGCTGTGCGGTGTGTTGGTCTTCCAAGCAAGTCGCAAAGGCACAAGGTGTAATTTCCTTTGATCAAACCGAATCAAACCCCTGCGAAGCCAGGCCACCTGCGCCCCTCGGAACCACCATGCTCTGGCAGACCGCCTTGCGCCCCAGCTCTTGACCGAGGCATGGAGAAGCGGTCTGTTCGGTCAGTGAAATGTGAAGGCCAAGCTGATGACCCTTTGGCTAGCTCAGCCCAACAAAACCCAGGTTGTTCAGTGCTCGAAAATGTACTCGAAACCCTTGTGGGAGAGTGTGAAAGCCCTAGAAGAAGAGCCAGATGGCGCGAAGCGGAGGAGTATGCTCAGCAGCTCTTGGAGGGCGTTCCTCCAGAGGACCCTTACGACATGCCCTTGGTCCTGTGTCTTGGCTTCGAGTGAAAGGGAACACTTTCGTGTGTGCTGGAGGGGCTTCTAGTGGGTCTCGGTCTCGCAGTGGGCAGTGCAGAAGCAGCTCCTTCCTCAGGCCAGATGCAGACGCCTAATGCCCCACAAGTGCGTCAGCCTCGGCCAGACTCACCAGCGGTACCGAGTCGACAACCTCCTCACGCTGACGTTCTTGGGTATGCGCGCCACGCAAGATGTGTAGCTTCGGGTCGTTAGCACTCAGACACAGGTCTTTGGCTTCGTCCTTGCTCTTGAACCCCAGTGTGCTGCGAGGTCGAGATGGTGCCTGAGCGTTTTCCACGATAATGAGATAATGTATCCCAAGAACCCTGTCCTCTGCAGATTGGTCTTTTCACGACAACAGCCATGGCTTCAGAAGTGTCAAGCTGAAGAGAGGGTTCCCGCAGGAGTTTGAGCGAACCGAACCCTGAGTTCCGCTGTGTTTTGTTCGCCTTGAGTTTACGAGGACCAGGCTTGCGGGCAGGCGAGGCGAGGTTCCGAGGTTCTGGAGTCAGGTTCTCCTGGAGCTTGTGTGAGGGAGGAGTGGGTTTCCTGCAGCAAAACGTGCTGGTTTTGCTCTGTGGCAGGATGTGTAGCCGGGGTTCGTTGTTTGCACCTCCTGCTCGGCTGTTTCACCTGTGTACGGGATGAAGGTCACAAGACCCATTTGTGAGTGCTGACCTTGATCCCAAAGTGGCGATCAGCATTCTGGCAGGCATTAGCACTTCGTGCAGACATGGGGTTGTACTAGCTTCCTATGCAACAGGCAGCGAGCTATTGATGCGCACACTGCAGTTTAAGATCTTGCGCTATTCAAGTTGGTACATCTCACATCTCCATCCAGAGACGTTTTTCCATTCTTGGCCTGCGCTATTTGCTGTGGCAGGGGTCTGATCTGGTTTGGCTAGTCAGTCTCCAACGTCCGCAGAATTTTTGTTCGAGCCGTTGCTAGAGCTTTGCCTGCGACCTCGGTCCACGCAGCATCAGCCATGAGCGTCACTCGCATTAAGGAAGCAACCGCATGTAACCGTACATGACAGGTGGCCTTGTGGCTTTCCAGTCGCTTGGGCTTCGGTTGCTCTCCTCTTTGGTTTCGAGGTCTTGAGGATACTGTCATTGAGCTACTGCGGCTTCGGGGCTCTGTGGGGCAGTGGGAATTTGCGGATTGAGTGACTGGCGGCCTGCTGTCACCCACTTCGAATTTCTTGAATCGATAGTCTGCAGCGTGCCGAGGTGACCTTTGTGCAGACACCCGCCCAGACACCTGGCAGCGAATCATGCCCAGTGAGCTTGGCTTCGCTTGAGGTGTTGATTTGATTCAGTTCGTAGTAGCTGAGTGCGTGCACTCGCACTTTTTGGGATAAGATGATCCCTTGTAGAACTGAAGTGTGCACTTTCTGGGGCTCATGAACTCAGCAACTAAGAGTTCTGTCGCCCGTCTTCAAGACTTCAGTCACTACTCCCGGGATAGGGAGGCTCGATTCTGCGAGTGGCATTTTTGATTTTCCGTCTAGTTTCCGGCTGTAGCTGTAGCTTTGTCGGCCTCAGTCAAGCGGAGGTCCGTGGCCGTCCTGAGCCCCGTCCAGGGCACCCCAGCCCTGCGCGGCGCAGAGGCCCCGAGCCAAGGCGGGGGCGTTCTTTTGGCTCCTGGACTTGTCAGGTCAAGTCCTCTTTGTACCCGATCTCATCAGTTTGCATTGTGCGCGTTCTCTGCTGAGGGTCGGCGATCCAATTCACACTCTCGAGCGCGAGAGCCGGCCCTTCGCTTGCGAGCTCTGCACACGGCCTCTCCGCAGGCCACCAGGGATCCGCTGCGACTGCCGTGGGTGCTGCTGCACTCTGCCTTGGCGCGTCACTGGCACGCCGTGCTGGCGCTCAGGTGGGCGCATGCGTGTGAGGACTGTCGAAGAAGAAGCCTGTTTACCTCTGAGCCCTGCGCCAGAAGCGAGCTGCCCGCGGTGCCCGGGTGGCCACCAAGGCGTGGCCCTGGTGACTTCTCGGGGGGAGGGGCTTGGGAGCTCTTTGCCTGCTGGGACTTGCAACGGCAACGGTAACCTTGGATTTCCGCTTGCTCCGCGTGCCTCCCTCCCCTCCGCATTCCGACCAAGAGGAGAAAGAGAACCCCAGAGTCTCGCTTGGCAGTGCCCCCTTCAGGCGCTCGGCTCCATTGAGCAGTTCAGGGTCTTCGGCCCTCCGGAGGAGCGAAGCAGAGCGAAGCCGAAGGGATCACGCAGAAGAGACGTGTGTAGGTCCCGCCACGACCCTGACTCTGAGCTTACACCTGTCAGGATCCTTTCGTCATCGAGACAGACAAGGTCCTCGGTGTTGGCGGACAGGGCACCGTCTACCTGTGCCACAAGCAGTGGCTTGGTCCTGGTTCGAGAGCCCTTCCGAAGCTTGTCAGCTTCCCAAGACATTGCTGCAATCCTGGGTCCCAAGGAGCACTCCGAACGTGAAGCACGCCGTAAAGACCATCCCCATCTGGCGACTGCTCATGGAGCGCTGTGTGCCCGACCTCAGTCCGTCGGATCCTAGCTGTCGATGCCGCAGGATCCTTCCTGCGACGAGAAGATCGCTGACATCCGCAAAGAGACGGAGGCTTCATGTGCTTCAGTTGTGAGGACTCGGTTGAAAGGCATCGTGTCGTTTCAGGTGCTGATGAAGATCCAGGGCCATCCCAACATCTGCGCTTGCCTGGGCTGCTTCGATGCCTACCGGCCGGGCACCTCGCAGGCGGACCATCCGCGCAACGGCTGGAGCTTTCTTGATGGGCTCGCTTGGTGAGTCTCTGCAGGCCCAGTACATCATGATTGTCATGGAGCTCGTTGACGGTGGAGAGCTTGCAGGCTCGTCTGACACGGGCGCGGTCTTTGGTGCCCGTGGCTGCTCCCTAGCATGCTGACCTGTCGCCACAGACCCAGGCTACATCAAAGACGGGCAGACCTGCCTCACGGAGGAGATCCCTCACCTCGCCGTCTTTTCCAGCATCAGACACTTCCGGTAATGATCTGAGTCAGAGAGTGATTTACGGCATTTGGCCTAAATGCGAGGTGGTGCACCGGCATACAGCATCAACTGTACCCAGTGAAGCCGCAGGATGTCGTGAAGAGCGTCACCAAGCAGACTGCCATGGGCCTCAAGTTCATCCACGCCGCTTGCTTCAATTCGCTTCTAAGGTTTGGGGCCTTATCCTCTTCATGACGCAAGGCTTGGGCTTCTTCATCCGTGCTCCGGGACTGCTTCGGGTAAAGAATGTCCGACAGATTCTCGTCTTTGTAAGGAAAGGGACATTGTCCACCGAGACCTGAAAGCGGAGAACGTTCTCGCCACTCGACAAAAGCACGCCTGGCAGTTTGCATTGGCTGCCTGCGTGGAGTCGCAGTTCTCTGTTTGGATGAGCGTGTTAGGCCTGAGCGAATGCAATGAGGTGCATGACAAACGCAGACAGACCCCCTTGCTACGGATTGTTTACTTGTTGCCAAGCCATCAAGTGGCCTGCGAGGTCTGTGCCCAGCAGCTCACTGCCCAAACTCCTGTCAGCGGCCTAGGGATCCTATGGCCGCGCCGTACTGGTGAGCCACTGACTTGTCTTCCGGTTGGCTTTGCCGTGCAACACTGGCCGCTTACCCGTCGTTCGATCACTGCCTGCAAAGAGAAGAGCTGCTGTGGAGATACCCAGACTCGGGGAATTGTCACGCTGATAGGGTGATTCGAGGAGAATTGAAGCCAGCTCCTTGCTGTTGAACACAACTCGAATGTTGCCGTCAGTGCCGAGGTCAAGCTGATCGACTTCGGCGTGGCAAAGCAGCTCGGTCAGACCAGCAAGTGGGGGCCGACAGACACACAGGGGAAGAGACAGAGAGCGAGCTTGGATCGTGGAAGACTTCGCTAAGGCGGGAGATGAAGACACTAGAGCGGGCATGAGCGCCAAAAGCTCGACAGCTGATCGGCTTGAAGTCCTTGCCCCCCACCGACAGTATGAGAAAACACACCGAATTGAACTACCCCATGCCAGCGTGCCCGATCCTTTGCTTTGGCTTTCCCAGTGCGTCAGCTTGCCCCTTCCCGCTGCCTCTGCCGAGTAACGACGTTATCGGAGCCGGGGCGCTCTGCCAGAGAGCTGCAAGTACCGGGAGCCTCCTGAGAAGCCGGGATCGCGTCAGGCTGCGACCCCTTTCTCACTCACTCACTCGCTCGCTCACTTTGTGTGTCAGCACAGATGAACTGAAAACAGACGACACTTCCAGGCACGGGGGAAAAAGAGCTTCTTTCGAATCTTCTTGACAATCCGCAAACCAGTGCACCGCGAAGGCCCAGAGACCCGAAGCGGTGGGGCCAACCGTTAGACATGGCCCGACCTGGGCCCTGGGCCTTGAAACCCCTAGCAGACTCCTGTTTCTTATGCCCACGTACTTCTCTCTCGAGCCTGCCAAGGGAGAGGCAGCAAAAAGGCGCAAGCGTGCAACCAAGTTGCCTTGGTATCGCGGCGGGTTGTTAATGGAGGTGAAGAACAAGAGATGAAGTTTGGCGATAACGGCGTGCTGCGGAGGTGCATACCGAATCCCAAGCGGTGTGGCGGTCTGCATCACAGGGTACGGTATGAGTCCGGAGAGCGCAGAATGTGCAGAAACCAGCATGGCATACGAGTGACTTGCACAAGAAATGCACCAACAAGGAACCTCTCTGGCACCGTCGCTCGAAGCTGCGTTGGCACCACCGTGACTGAGCTGCATATTCCGGTCAGGTCAGGCAGACGACGAGTGACAAGGCTTGTATGATCGATGCTTCGTTCAAAGGCTCCGTAGGTTGAGGAGATATGCCTCGGGGTCTGCGAACACGATCGGCCGGCAGAAGGGGTGAGCGTATCGCTGGATTCCTCAAAGTCTTTGTCGAGATGCCACAAGTGTGCCTGCATCTGTACAGAGTCCTGGGCTGATATCGGTCCGTGGGGGGGTTCCGAATTCTGATGCCGAAACCTGTACCGTCTTGGTATTCCCGAAGCCAGGGTAGACGTGCTCTCATCGTGTAGAAGAGGTTCTCCCCTCCCTCAGGAGATCATGGCACCGGAGCTCGTGGGTGCGAAGATGATGCACCTTGGATGCAGGGCCGAAAGGCAACAAAGATTGACTAAATCGTCTTGCCAGAGGAGTGTTTGGATCACCTTCACCTGAGAACGGTCTCTCTGAGGATCGCACCCAAGGGTGTGCAGCTGGCCACGCACGGCCCATACACCTTCCAGCTCCCTGTCATCAAGTTTATGCGAGGTTTGACGCTCGCGGTTCTCGGTTCGGCATTGCCAAGATTTTTTTTTGCGCCAGTCAAGCAACGCTCCATTGGCTTCTCATGGGTCTTCGCCGGTCCACTGTGTCGTTCAAGACTCAAAAAAAAGCTAGTGTTTCGCCTGTCGAAGACCGAACACTTTGCCCTGAGGCCTCCGCAGCAGCAGAGCCCGGGCTTCGGCATCGTCACGCAGCGACCGGCTCTTTGGCACGGTGGCAAAAGGGGCACAGCAAGCCAGGCCATAACTCACACAGAATCGAATCCAAAATCAGTGGGCTGAGGTCTGCCCAAACCCCCAAGCCCTTCAGCTGAGGATGGCAAGGGCGCCATGGTCAACGGCATCGAGCCCGGAGGCCAGGCAGCGGGCTTCAACGCGGCTCGGCAAGGAGATGCACGAATCCTTCCAAGGCCCTAGATAGGTTTGGGAGGTCTGGGCAGTCCACTCCTATGCTTAGATGCTTTCTGGCCACTGTCGAGAGGCTAAGCTCCTCGAACCCACAATGCAGCTGCTTTCGTACTTTGCCAGCATCTCTCTATCCGATCTGTATTCAAGGTTGGTGACGGCTGGGCCATCTCTCACATCAACGGCCAGGAGATCCTCGAGATGCCCTTCGTGAAGGATCCCCGTGCTGCTAGGTGCTCCAGTCACCATCTTGGCCTTCTCGATCCGCAGGATTTCAACGAGCTCGGCGCCGGAACTAAGGTGGGAGCTCAACTGTGTCATGGGATGAAGCAAGTCGTCTCCATCCTGTTTTGATGCGTTCAAAGCTTACAGTCTTACACAAAGAGAGCGGCACCGCAGGGCGGCGTCACTGCAATCACGGAGATCCTCGGTGGACTGACTGCACCCTTCACCGTTCAGCCGTTTGGATGCACGGACTGAAGCATTCAGTTTTTTTTCAGGAGAGGAGAGTTGGGTCAGCGTGAGCATGCATCGAATCTCAAGACACCTGGGGTGCCAGCTTAAAAATAGGTGGTCATGCAGAACGAGTTTGGTTTGGGTTAGCAGTGGGCAGCTGTTGTTGGCAGTCCCTTTCTCGTGTGATTCCTGCTGCGACTGGGCTTACGCTCCGGCGCAAACATCTCCAAGTGCATCGGCATAGCGGCATGGCTCTCCATGCAAAGCAAACCGTCGAGTGAAACGTCTCATTTACCGAACCGGAGGGTGGGAAGCTCATTGAAGCTCTTGATCCTGACTGCCAGGTTCGTGGAGCTGCCAAAGCGTGAGTTCACCAAGGCCGCCCGCAGATTTTCGGCTCGATTTGTGCCATTCCCGAGATGCAGGCTGTGGATCTCTGGAGTCTGGGCGTGACAATGTCCCCCTTCGGCAAGAAGCAAGTTGTAATTGCCGTCTGCTTCTGTCAGATCGTTTTGGTGGCCTAGTGGCACAGAAGGCATCCATAGTCCAATCCTTGTGAGGGTGACTGGAAGACCTCGGAGGTACGTCATGCTGACCGGCCTCAAGCCCTTCGCAGAGCCCCGGATGCACGTTGTTCGCTGTCACAGACTTGCCGCCCTGCTACGAGAAGAGTGGAGCTGACTCGCTGCGAGCCCGCCACGAAGTTCTCGCCTCTTCTCCTGCCCATCTCCTGCCCATCTGAACTCAGAGCCGCCGGAGCCCTCTCAGAGCCGTGTCCCCTATCGCAAGGACGAGGACAAGATTGTGAATGCAGAGTACGACCAGACACCTTTGAACAAGTGCTCTCCGCAGGCCCAGGCCAGCCCGTGTGAAGCGATGTCTATGTCCACACAGCCGGCGGGGGGGGGGGGCGATCTGATGGGCCTCCGTTTACTCCGTTTTTTAGCGTCTCTTCCTCTTCTCCTTTCTTTGCTCTTCAGGAGCTGGTCAAGAGCCTCTTGAAGCTGAACCCGGCCGAGCGCCCGACTGTCGACCAGGCAGGGGGAGATGGGGGTGCTATGGGGTGCTTGTCTTGCTTCCCAGACCTCAGCCGGCTCTGCTCCAGGTCCTGGCGCATCCTTTCCTCCAGTGGCTCGGTGTTTTTTTAGCTGTGGGCTGTTGCGCATGTGCGTCTGGTCCGTCTGAACTTGTGAAGCTGTGAAGCGATTGGTCTGAACCAGCGGCTAAGACAATGGAGACTGAAAGCTCCTGAGCTGTCTTGATTTCATTTGCCTTTCAGGTAGCCTGCGGAAGGGAAGGCGGAGATGGTGGAGAGACGTGAAGAGTCCAGCCTTGGTTGCCTGCAACTTGCTGACAGGTTCTATACTGCGCTCCTCACTGAGCCGCCGGGCATTGGCTTTCGCACCTGTAAGCGGATGGCAGCTTAAGACGCCTGGTAGGATCACAAGAGGTCAAGCTAGGCTATCGTTTCCTCTTGCGTGGCTTGAATTGACGGTGTGTTGCAAACCCTCAATCTACGTGCATTGATCATCGACGCGCCTTTGGCATAATGCAGCGGCATGGTCTTCTTGTGCCGTTGACCTCGTTTTTTGTATCGAAGCAGGATGCGAGAGGTTAGGACACGGAAGGCGCACCTCTTATTGCGAAGTGCTCATGGATAGACAATCAAAGATCAGAGCTGGATCGCTGCTTTTATCCCGCTAGGTGGGAAACTCGCATGTCCATTCAGAGAGAGGGCTGGCCAAGCAATCCCAGTCACAGATGAGTCTCCAGTAACTTGAACAGCGCACGTCAAAAGCCTCAAGAAGTAAGCGCTCGCAGCATATCCTGAAGTAGTCTGCGAGCGAAGTCGCACGTCATGGTTTGCATGGACGGGATGTGCTCCAACCCTCACAGTCTCCATTTTTAGTAGTGAATTTTTTCCTTCTAAACTATGACTAGGCGGCGTCACAAGCCCACAGAAAAGGGGAGGGGCAGGCTCGGGTGGACAGATGCAACCTATGCGACAGTGCAGACTTGGAAGCGCTTCTCTTTGTGTGTTCGAGGTCGAAAGTTTTTGCATTCTTGTGCCCAGATGCCTTCAAAGAGGGTTTGCCTTCTTCAGAAGCACTCAAAAGCTGCTGTTGCACTTACTCACAAAATGTCGCAACCTGCGAATTTACGTCAGCACGGGGTTAGCTGGACGGAACTGGCAGCCCATTTATCAGGCTCTGGTGCCGCCCTAGTTGCCCCGAAACCCAGCTGAGCCATGGCCAAGTCCTTGCTGCCTGCCGTCGCCTGGCTGGGAGCAATCATCGTACTGAGTCATACGGGTCATACTTGTATGTCCTTGTTCCGTCCTTCCACTCTTCCCTTTCTGCCGCAGGGGAAGGCAGTCTCGTTGTATTGTAGTCTTGTTGCTTGGGTCTGGTTGAACAGGCCGATGGGCGGCAGAGAGGTCTCGTGCGGGCTGCCCGTGGTGCCAGTCAGGCGGTTTCTCTGTCGCTAGTTTTCCTTGCTGCGGTGTCATCGGAAGGCAGTTTTGGTCGGGAGTGACTGGTGTGTCCTTGTCGCCACAGAGTCTTTGATCACACTCTTATTGCTCTCCCAAACCCTGGTGGGGTGTGGGCGATGTCAAGCCAATTATTGAACACGTTGAAGATAATTGGAGGTCCCACACCTTGATGGGCACTCGGGGCTGTGACCACCTAGGTCCTGCTTGTTGCCTTCCTGGGCTCCACCCTTTCCTTCGTGGGCTTGCGGTCGGCACCGCGTCAGGCCCGTTTCTTGCGCGTCCCACATCGAAGCCGGCAAGTGTCGGTGTGGGCATGAAGTCTTGGTGACAGGAGAGCCGCATTGCGCTTCGGGGACAAGCTGGTGCCTCCGCCACCCCATGGACTCTTGGAGAAGAGAGCGCGCGCCCCCCGCTTTCAGCACCCTCTCGGCCACGGCACCGAGGACCCCAGTCCTCAGTCGGGACGTGGTGGAGATCGAGCATCGGCCTCAGAGCAGTGACCGAGCGACACCTGCACCCAGTTCCTTGTTGCTCAGGTTCACTGCGCCTGCACAGGGAGCGCGCTGCCGTTTCATGATCAAGGTCCGCCTCGGTGTGATTGCAGCCGCACATGTCCGATTCAGTAGCCTTATCTCCGTCTCCACGCACCTTGTGGGTGATCCGTCTTGAGTCTTGAGTCTCATCTCTTCTCACGCTGCTTCGGTCGGATGACTCGATCGGCCTCCAACTCGACTTGACCTCAGCGTACTAGGCCGAGCTCCTTGGGTTTTCGCGGAATGTTGCGGGCATTTGTCCAGGCGGATGCTGATGCCAGTGAGGCGGGGGATCCGGGAGCGAGTCGCCCCTGGCTTTTCGAAACTCTAGCGTCTATGTTTTTTTCCTGCAGCTTCTATGCCAGTGTTTCGTTCGCAACAGTTGCATCAGCAACAAGAACAGTTTGTTCAACTAAGCTGGAGTATTGGCTCCATCGATGAAGTACTTATCTTCCCTGGCCACTCCATCAGCATATGTGCAAGATCTGTAGAGATCAGGATTGATTTGCGCCGCAGGTTTCAACGTTTTTTTTTCGCACAGCTTGAGCATCAGATGCATAAGTATGAGGGACGCAAGCTAAAGTCAAGAGCTTGCAAGCCGCAGTATCGCAGATTAACCTTCAGAAGGCGAGCGCACAGCACACGGGATTAGATCCTCTTTACAGCTGTCCGGTTCGCTGGCGCATGCTGGCGCCTGGCAATCTGCAGGTGCTTTCCGAGGGCCGCAAGAGGCTGGGCTTCAACCAGGAATGGATGCCGGACTCCGACTTCAAGCGACCTGGCTCTTGGGCACCGCGCCGGCATGAGGCCTGTAGACACGCCGTGCTGAAGGATCTACAACTCCGAGGACGAGGAAGCCGGCCCTCTGAAGGCTGAGTCACTTGGAAGTTTTCGTGGGAAGCCACTGATTCTTCCTTGCAGCCGGCAGACCTGCATATTTTTTTTGCGGATTTCGGAGGAGCATTGTATCTGGGTTCGGTTTGGCTCGAAACTGGGCTTCTTCGTTTCAGGGCAAGATGAAGGACAACGGCCTCATTGACTTCACCTACGAGGTTTGGACCTTGCCTTTGAGCAGTGTAGTTCACATCCTGCCGCGTGATTTTCACAAGTTGGTGATTCCGTACCTTGATTCCGAAGCGCGCTCCTTCCCGGGCAGAAAAGCTTCTGATCCGATGGGTCGGGGCACAGAGGGGCATCTCGTCGGCAGGTGCATCTCTACTACGAGCCCCAGTGAGATGGCATCGCGGCCCAGAGAATTTGGGCGAAAGGACAAGTGCTGAGCCAAAGAAAGCAGCCTCACCGAGGCATGCACTAGAAGGCTAGGCTCCTTCCGGCTCCGTTCACCGCTCCCTGGTCAAGGCACAAGGGCTTTTTGGCAGGGCTTAAAGCGTGCCTTTCTCCCAAAAGGCTGCAGGCGGATGCTTTGCATCGCAGGCCTTTAGAATCAGAAAATCGCCTCGCAACGTGCCTTGCAGATCGGGTGATGCCGACAGGATCCATACGCTAGCAACTGCTTCTCCCACAGAGCATGCCGGCAGGGCGGACGCTGGGAGGACAAAGCACCGTTATCAACATATGAGGTATGGGGCAGCATTTTTACAGGCTCAAGCATCTTTTAGCTCTTGATCCGGCGAGATGGCCAAGTTGAGCTTGCTGTCCGCTGCAGCCTGGAGGCAATGATCTCAGGGTCTTCGGAAGCGGCGGCCTGGCGCCTAAGTGGGCCCGTAGGTTCCAAGAACGCCACGGAAGACGTGGGACCGGGTTGAGCGCAACAAGGTGAGTCAAGGGCTTGCGATGCACGGGTATTGTGGCGGTTAAGGCTTCAGACCACGCCTGGCACGAGATGGAAAAGACGATATGGATCTCAGGTTCTGCTGGTCGCCTTCTTGGGCTCCACCCTCTCCTTCGTGAACCTGTGTGGGCGCCAGGCACCCCGCCAGGCGCGGCGCCGGGATTCTTGGATGGACACTGCTGCATCGTGCTTGTGCTTGTCTGTGAGTGCTCTCTCTGCGAGATGCATTTCGTGTCCGTTTTAGACTCTGAATGTTCACCACGTGTCTTCAACTCGGCCCCAGGCCATCTCACATGTGTTTTGGACTGACATCCTTGCAGTGATTGACTTTCCCTGGATGTGCATTGTCGCCGACGCATCCCTAATATGAATTTTGCCATTGCGGGTTCGTGAGCTCTGAGTGTCTTCAGTCTGCAGTTACCCGCTGCACCGATGCGGCTGTTTGCAACCGTGTTGCTTTCGCCAGGAAAGCCGCACGGCACTGAGGGGACAAGCCGGCGCTTCCGCCACTCCGTGGTGTCTCGGCAGTGCTGAAATAGCTGAGCTCCGGACACGGAGAGACTGAAGTTTGTCATCGTGGCAAGCAAGCCACAAGATGCTTTCATTGCCCAGGACGCCAGTCCTGTCCCGTGATGTGGTGGAGATCGAGTGCCTGATCCCAGTTATCATGCATCTCATGCTCTGTGGGTTTGGAAAGACGCGAGTTCCTTTCTGTGGTTGTTCTGATATATGGCTATCTACAGAAGCCTGCCTGAGCTGCGCAGGCAAGTTTCAGTCGTGCCTCCGCTTTAGGCGAGAACCCATGTGCGTGTTTGGAGTTGTAAAATTCGTGTACGTGCTACACAATCACAAGAACGCAGCTTCGTCTTTGTGGCATCTATCGAGCTGGACCCTAAGTATAAGGCAAGCAGCTGTCCTGATTCCGGTTAGGTTCACCGCCCCGGCACAGGGTGCACGCTGCCGCTTCATGATCAAGGCAGGCTCTTTCGTTGTTGCTGGTTCTTCTACATCTCGTCGCAGCAGTTCATGTGCTCCTTGGAAGGCCGATGCTGATGCCAGCGAGGCCGCCAGTACAAGATTCTATAGTTCATTTGACAAGAGGAGTTGGAGTGCATTATCTCGCTGTGCACGGTTTGGCCAACCAGAGTTTGCAGGAACAACCTGAAACTCTTGCCAACTCCTTCTCCCTCGATCGAAGTACTCCGCGCTGTTGTAGCTTCAGAGACTGGCTCCGAAGTAGGTGGAGCCACTTCCATGCACTACTGCAGACCTAGGCCCACAGGCATCTCTTTCAATGGAGCATTCCAAAGACCTGCATCCCCGCAGAATTGGCGCAAGTACATCGCAGTTTGTCGGCTCTGCCTTGCCGCGTAGGTGCTGTCAGAGGGCCGCAAAAGGCTGGGCTTCAACCAGGAGTGGATGCCTGACTCCGACTTCAAGCGCCTTGTCTCAAAGAGGGACCCAAGTTGGCATAGCTCTGAATTCCATTGCCTTGGGTGTGATTGTGCCGTAGCAGCTCCCAGCTCCACAAGCGAGTCCGCTCGCCAAGGATCTACAATTCCGAAGACGAGGAAGCCGGCCCCCTCAAGGCGCAGAAGCCCGGCAGCCCTTGTCGTTTCTGTTGCACCGGCTTGCCGTCGCAGGGACAGATGAAGGACAACGGCCTCATTGACTTCACCTATGAGGCTGATTCATGGGTGTTGGTGGCTTGGGCTCTAGGCGAAACGCTTTTGGGTCTGTGCACGCTAACACCACAGTCTCGCACGCATGAGGACAGCATGTTTGGCACTGCGGAAATCCATGTGCGTACCCGATTGCATGCATGTGTGAATTTTGGCGCTGCAGCTTTCTGAAACGGGGGCGGCTTGATGCAGCGTAATTTTAAACTGGCAGGTGTTCTCCGAATCTTGCAGGGTTTGGCCTGATAGCAAGGGGTATGCCCACGGGCTGTGCTGCGGAACAGCCCAGTTCAACACTGGGTCTGGTAGGCAGACGCGCTGGCATGTGACTGCAAGAACTGCTTTGCTCTGCAAGGTCCACCTGTACTACGAGCCTCAGTGAACCTGCTCTTAGCCAGCAAGCCCCATCTGTGAGGTGGCAAGTGCCCTTAAACCGACATGTCTTGAGTATAACATAAGGACTCCATGACTGTCGACAGTGCTATAGTCTTACCAAAGCTCGGAGTATGCTCGGGATTGGCCAAGGCCTGTGGGAGCTTCTTGGCAAGCTAGCTCAAAGCCTCAAGTATCCCTTTCTCCCAAAGACGGATGTGAGTAGGTGCATTGCATCGCAGGCCCCTCGCTTGCTAGAAAAAGTTAAAAGAGACTGTCGCATGATGCCAATGATCATTTCCTGGATTTCGTGCGGGTGGCACAGTCCGCGTCCAAAGAGTCGAACCTCCATGTTTCTACATTGAATGACCTCACACAACGTGGCATTCTCACCAACCTGCCTATAGGAAGCCAAACAGTGCCTTCAAGGGAACGACCATGCTTGTTTTTCGGACGAGGGGAAAACCCTCGTCCAACAGGGCTTTTTTTGGCTGGCGTGTTGCGGAAGGGTTACCCGGAGTTGCAGCAAGGAATTTGACCTGCAGCTCACTAGGCTCAAAGCAGCGGCATCCCCAACCCCTCAAGAAGATCTTCTTGTCATCATGGCCAAGTCCAGCCTGCTGTCTGCCGTGCCTCAGCTACAGTGCACGGAGGAGTTTTTCTGACGTCGTGGCGTTTTTCAGCCAGCCGGACAGATATTGCTTCCAGACGAGCCGATGTGCTGCTGCCAGCCTCGCCAGGTTATGCTGGTCGCCTTCCTGGGCTCCTCCCTCTCCTTCGTGGGCCTGCGCGCGGCGCCCCGCCAGGTGGGATGCTGGGTCCTGTCCCAGCTCCTACGGGCCTGTTGCTTGCAATAGCGCCAGGAGAGCCGCACGGCTCTGAGGGGACAAGCCGGTGCCTCCGCCACCCCATGGCGCCTTGGCAGGGCAGTTCCTTCCGTGAGAGGCTTTTTCAATCTTTTTCACGAAAAGCGTGGAGCCGTTCTGGGCCCCCAGGACACCAGTCCTCACCCGCGACGTGGTGGAGATCGAGTGCGGGGCTCAGGTGAGGCCGAACCGCCCAAATCTTCACGACTCCAACGGCTGAGGTTTACCGCTCCTGCGCAGGGTGCCCGATGTCGCTTCATGATCAAGGCCGTGCTGGTTTGTAAATTGTTCCATGCAGAGTCGTTTCCTGACTTATTAGCATGCATGAGGTAGGTTCTGCGATCCTCAGTATGACGTCATGTCCTAGCATGACGTTGATTGATGGACTCAGCGCACTCCCGGCAGGCTGATGCAGATGCCAGCGAGGCTGCTCGGGTTGATGCAAGGGCATGCGTTGGCCGAATGCATACTTGGCTACCCCGGATCCAGCGGCGTGTTCGCCTCGACGCGCTCTCCTATCTTCCGTGTGGCTCGTTTTTGTTTGTTTTCTGGAGGTGCTGTCAGAGGGCCGCAAGAGGCTGGGCTTCAACCAGGAATGGATGCCGGACTCCGACTTCAAGCTCCTGGGCTCAAGGGACTTGCGCTTTTGCTGCACGCTCATCCGATTTCTGTGGGGCTCTTCTTTCTCCGTCCGAGGATCTACAACTCCGAGGACGAGGAAGCCGGCCCCCTTAAGGTGCGGCGGCTTGCGGCCAAAAACATCAGAACTGGAGCGGCATGCAAAACGGGAGTCACGACGTGACCAGGGCAAGATGAAGGACAACGGCCTCATTGACTTCACCTACGAGGCCAGGAGCGCGCGGGCTGGGAATCTGAGCTCTTGCCGGACCTAGCAGGCATGCCAGAGTTTGCAGTGCATGCTCGCTGCTCGAGGTCCACCTGTACTACGAGCCTCAGTGAGAGCAAAGCTGGCCATGAGAATATGCGGGTCTGTAAATGGGACGGTGCGATGGCAAGTGCCACTGGTCTGCCTAGCCCAGTTTTGCAAGCAGGTGTCTGATTCGCGTAACGTGGCCTGATTGTCCCAGGATAGCTGGTCTGATAGAAGCTTGTAAGGGCATTTAGGCAGGCCAGCTGGCAGAGTCCTTTCTCCCAAGGCTGCAAGTAGATGCATTGCATCGCAGGCCTCCCTCGCAAAAAAGAGGTGCTGGTTGGCGTGCCGTGCCAAGGCGGTATCCACAACGCATCGATCACACCTCGGAGGTTTGAGGCTCAAAGACACCGGCATCTCCCAGACCCGCTCCCTCCAATCGCCATGGCCAAGTCGAGCTTGCTGTCAGCTGCGTCTCGGCAGAAGCTTCGAGCCAACACTTGTGCTACTGCCAGCCTCGCCAGGTTATGCTGGTCGCCTTCCTGGGCTCCTCCCTCTCCTTCGTGGGCCTGCGCGCGGCGCCCCGCCAGGTGGGATGCTGGGTCCTGTCCCAGCTCCTACGGGCCTGTTGCTTGCAATAGCGCCAGGAGAGCCGCACGGCTCTGAGGGGACAAGCCGGTGCCTCCGCCACCCCATGGCGCCTTGGCAGGGCAGTTCCTTCCGTGAGAGGCTTTTTCAATCTTTTTCACGAAAAGCGTGGAGCCGTTCTGGGCCCCCAGGACACCAGTCCTCACCCGCGACGTGGTGGAGATCGAGTGCGGGGCTGAGTTGACTCTACATGTCAACAAAATGGTGTTGTGCACACGACCGGAAGTCTGTGAAATTGCGATATGCGTTTGATCGGTGTTACACGCCGTCTTGCAGAACTCATCACAGGTTCACTGCACCGGCACAGGGCGCTCGCTGCCGTTTCATGATCAAGGCGGTTTCTCCAATTGCTTACTCTGCTCTTCCGATTTCAGCTTCCCGCGGCTTGCAAGTATTTTCCGCGCTCTGACCAATTTTGTAGATCCTGTCATGCAGAGGCTGATGCAGATGCCAGCGAGGCTCGCGAAGCCATGAAAAGTCTTCGCACGGCCATAACTGAATTATGCTCGTGCCATCTTGTGCCGTAAGCCTTCCAAATGGTTGAGACTGTTTGTTCTGTGCTGGAGGCAGGTTTTGCAGCAGAAGTGCATCTGTTCTTTCGATGTGCACACCTCCCAACAAGAGCCAGGATAGACATCTGACATCTTTCTGCGGAGGTGCTTTCCGAGGGCCGCAAGAGGCTGGGCTTCAACCAGGAATGGATGCCGGACTCCGACTTCAAGTGCCTGGGCTGAACTGCGAAGGTTTCGCCGTGTCTTGCACTTAGCACTGCACCCTTACCTGCAAGGATCTACAACTCAGAGGATGAGGAAGCCGGCCCTCTGAAGGCCTTCGATAGCTGTGGAAGACAAGCCAGCCTCCAGACTAACAAAAACGTAGGCGGACAGCCTACTAGCAGCTTTCGGTACAGAGGGGGTGCGGGGGGAGCTGGTTGAAGGGCTGGTAGAAGGAAGGTCAACTGGACAGAACAGAGCACTCGCATTGCCTGGCACTGGCTTTTAAAGTCCTCGTGACCCCCTGCCACTCACAGCGCTGCCTAGACTCACAGTAGATCGCCAATTCTGGCGTGAGAGTTGCATAGGGGCGCCCAAACAAGCCGGGCAGCCTTGCCCTTTCCTTCGGCGTGCGTTGCACTTCTCGTTTGTGCTTCTATGGGGTGGGGAAGGGTTTGCAGTGTGGTTGTGAACATGACGATGCACCCGCTGTGTGTTCGTTGTGCCAAGGGCTGTAAAGCTTTTGCTGACCTCTTTTTATAGAGTCCTCGGTTCGAAGCCTCACCGACTGCTCAATCGTCTCACTCAAGGTGTTGGTTTGGGGCGTGTAGCTGTAACAGTAACTTTCCAGGGCAAGATGAAGGACAACGGCCTCATTGACTTCACCTACGAGGCAACGCCGGGCTTGTCGTTTGAGTTTGTGCCAGCTGCGTGCTGCAGCTAGCGCAAGTCTCATACCGGTAGTGTAAACTCGCCTGCTTACTTTTCTCGTGCCCAATAGCACATGTGAGGTCCACCTCTACTACGAGCCTCAGTGAGAGGGGTCAGAACATCTCTTGGATTTGTAGGATCTGATGCTCGGTTGCCTTGAGGCCATATGCGACTGCACCATCAGATGGGAGCGGAACACATTGAAGTCATGTAGTTGTGGTGTAATGCCCTTCTTGGTGACAGAGGTGTAATATGCAATCGAGGCCTTCGCGGGCTTTTTGGCAGGCTGGCTAAGCTAGCTCTAATCTTGCTGCTTTCTCCTGGCCGCAGCAGCAGATGCTTCCACGTCAGCTTCACTGTGGCACCAAGAGGAATCAAACGGGAAAACGTTCGTGGCTTGCTATTCGGCTGCTATTCCTGATCTTCCTTGTGTGATCAGTCGGTCCAAGGTTCTAGCTGCTGCAGTTGGGGAGTTTGCGGCTCTTGGATGCTTTGGGTGTGTTGCCTTTGGCGTCTGAGTTGCTGAATGTTGCTGACGTTGGTGTATATCTTGGTGCCAAGCTCATCTTTGTCTGCACTCCAGCAGCTTCCTGCTCTAACAAAAAGACCTTTCAGGCCGACGGCCCCACGCTGCAGTCGTCGCATGGTCATGTGCTTTCGGTGGCAAAGTCTCAGTCATGTCATGTGCCCCTCGTGGAAGGCCCAGCGTGCTGCTCGTGCATCTGTCGGGTCGGTGGTGAGCCGGGGTTCTGATGTGTCTCCTAGCGAACATGAGCTTGGGGCCGTCAGTTTCTGCGGAAAGGCGTTGCATTTTTCACCTGGACCGCACAGCCACAATCGAGATGGACATCGTGAGCACGTCGCTGAATGCTCACGGGTGTCTGTTCACACTGTTTCCGGCCATTTTGATCTGCACTGATTCTCATGTTGGCAATGCTGTTGCTGCAAAACGCGCCATGTATTCAGCCACTGCATGGACGCTTCCTGCTGCCACCGCGGTCTCACTGGTTTCCTGGCCGACTTTCCTCCGGATGCTTTGAGGTTACAGGACAGATGATGCAACTCCAGGTGTCGGACGTCTGAAGATGATTCCAGCTGGTCCTTCCAAGCGAGACAATCAGAGGCTTTAAATTCTAGACACCAGACTACGGACTGCAGGGTGGTGTGAGTGGAGCGCTTGTATCCCTTATGATTGAATCTTGGAAATGGGATAGTCGGCCGCCGGACTTCTTTGGTAGCTCTTACAGCGCAGCTTGGGCTGCAGGAGGTGTGTGCTGAGCCTTGGTGCTGGTGGTTTCCATCACCAGACCAAGGCTCGGCGTGGCTCCTCCTTGCCTGTTCATCCCAGGCAAGCGGTGTGGGCGCAGCCAGACTTGTTCGACAGCCGGTTTTCCCTGCCCCGCACCTCCACCCTGAGCCATTGCAAGCCCCGCTGGGCCTGGACCAAGCCCTCGCCACCGTCCCTCCACCCCATTGATTCTACATCAATGGAGGTTTGAACCCTCATGCAATTGCTTGAGCCTCGAGTGTGCTGAGTGTAGGACGTTGCATAGCGATCCCTCCTTGCGGGTATTGCCAGCTCTTCGTGGGAAGCTCGACCTGCCAGCGCACCCCCGTCCTCAGCCACCAGCCCCGCTGTCCACGAAGCCTTGGCACCGCTCGAGCACACCACTCACCTGTGCCTGGGAGGATTCTGCACAAATAGACCCGAAACCATTCTTGGCCCGTGGCCGTTTGGCTGTTTGTAGAGGGTCCCGGTCCCACAAGTGGCACCCTTCCACTGGCGAAGCCAGGTGTACCTTGGCAGCTTCAGTCGGCAGAGTCTGCGCGTTCTGAAACTCTAATCACGGGTGCTGACAGCGATGAGAAGTACGGAAGAGACAGCTTCAACTACGGATGATGATGGTTGATTGCGATGATGCCATTGCAGATGAAACATGATCACGAAGGTTGAAGGTGAGGAAGAACATAGTGACATACTGTTTATGCTGATGGGGGTGGGGGAGGTGAGGGTGGTGGTGGTGATGATGATCATGATGCTGGTGATGTTTGGGGTGATCGTGACTACGACGATGCTAGCGACGCTGCTGCAGCTGCTGCTCCGGCTGCTCCGGCGCTTTCATCCTTATCCTCCCTCGTCGCCAGGAGCATCAGCATCGTCGTCATCATCATCATCCTCATCCTCATCCCCATCCTCCTCCTCCCCCTCATCCTTACCGCCATCAGCATCAGCATCGTCATCCGCATCAGCATCATCTTCATCAGCATCATCATCATCATCCCCCTCATTCTCATCCTCATCCTCATCCTCATCTTCATCCTCCTCCCCCTGCTCCTCCTCATCCTCATCCTCATCGCTATCAGCATCAGCCTTGGGATCCTCATCATCATCATCATCATCATCATCATCACCATCATCATCATCATCCTCGTCCTCTTGGCAGGATCAGCATCCGCCTCAGCATCAGCATCGATCATCAGCATCATTGCATACACACACCAACACCACCAGCATCATCACCATCTTCAAAAATTATTGAAGCAAAAGCCATCCTCACCATGCTCCTGCAATCACACCGTCTATCCCAAGAAGGCTGTTGCAGCAGCGGGTGTCCAGCGCTGCTTAGGTTATCCCTTCGTTCATTAGCCCTTTGTTTGCCATTTCCAGCCCAGTCATTCCGGCTCGTTTAAGATGGATGCTCGAAGCTGCCAAAGAGAAGAGTTGGTGATCGTGTCGGGGCTCATGACACGCTGTTCTACACTCTAGGGCTTTCTTGAACAACATGCCAGCCAGGGCTCCGCCTGTTTCCGTGTGCCGCATTCCTGTGACGGCCCAAGAAGCATCTGCTCTGAAGGCAGTTGAGACATCAGCCTGCATGTCCCAGGCATGGAGAGTGAGCACAGTTCTCGGACTGCAGCCCCAAGCACCACCTAAAGCGCAAGCTGCTGTCTGTATTGTGTTTCCCTGATTCATGTTGGCATATGGAGTATAGGATCGAATATCAAGACAACCTGCATTGCGAGAATGAAGACAAAGCTGTTGTGCAGTTGGTCCAAGGCAATGCGGAATGCTCAGCTTTCCCTGCTGATCTTGTCTGCCTGGCAGAATTAGTCCGATTTCTGCGGTGCCAGCACGACTTCATGGAATCATCGAACGGTTGTTTGCAGTGCCAGGATCGCAGCAGGTCTTGTGGGTGAGGCGAGCGCCAGGCACATAGCATCGTCGCAGGCAACAGAGCAGATTGAGTTGCAGAGGTTTGTGCATGTCTACCGGTGCATGCAATCATCGCTGATGAAGTCAGCCATGCACAGGCCTTCGTCCTGTGCGATCCATTGTAGATGCATTGCAAAAAACTATCCACTCAACTCTTTCAAGGACTCAAGCGACGTAGAGCAGCATGCGCAGAATGTCGAAAGAGCGCTGTCTGATTCTCAGAGTGGCATACGGGAATGGTAGACGGTTCTTTTGTATCAAACTGCTGCTTCCGTTGTTTACAGGCCAAGCCAGTCAACCAACATGATGAGAAGAACTGGGTCGAGGCTGGCGGCTGCTACCGTTTTTTTCGAACATCCACTGCCTCTGTTGCTCGTTGAACATCCATACCGTCTAAATGTAACACATGCGATTTTCTTGCATCTGGTGTCTTCCAGATTCGAAATCTTGCCCGAGATCTGGGTGAAGTGCCAACATCGTGCCTGCAACCGTCCCCCACATCCACCAGCCAAAGCCATGTGTCAATTCGGAGCACTTCCAGTTGCTAACGGCTTCCTGGAATAGGCTTGTTCAAGAGACAACTTTGTCGGGGCACCCTTTTGCCTCTTGCACCTGCTCTGCAAGGGTTGAGCTTGTGAGGGATACAAGCTATGCACGTGCATGAGTCCAGTTGCCCAGCAGTCTCATGTCTCTTCAATGGGCGTGGTGCTGGTTTCGCCAGCTGTTCCCGAGACTTGAGAGTATGCATATCGTAAGCTACTCGGCCACGACGAGAACTGCGAGGGCGAATGATCGGGGATTTGTGATGACGTCGGTTGTCAGAAGTCGGCAGTGTGCGTCGTTGACCACAGCACCGTAACGGAGCGGAGGTCATGACAGTCGACGCAGACATCGAAACTCCGTCGTTTGCCCACCCCTCTGCACTCGCTGACGCTCGCTGCAGTCATTGCAGTCGCCGAGCTCACTGAACCCTGGCCAGCCTGTGTTGAATGGTTAACCTACCGATCACAGGCCGATGCCGGAAGTGACCGTCTTCAGTGTGGATGCTGCGGCTCACCCTCAGCACGCCGACGTCTCAGGATTTGCTCTGCAAGAGTGCAACTATGCACCTAGCAAGGTCCTGCGCAGTCTATCCACAATCTGGAAATCGCATCATCAACAAGTGTTTCTGAAGTCACGACTCTGGCATGCTTTTGCTGGGGCCAAGGTTGCAGACGAAGTTGGTGACGCGTCGCAGCCTCTCTGCCGCTGCGTGCTGTAAACGGTGCAGATATGTGCGGATGCAGTGTGCACTTCATGCAGCTCTGCATGTGCCGGCGTAGCCTCGGCATCGGCAAGTTGTGAGGCATGGCAGGTCGCGCATGGCGCAGGCGAGCCTGCAAGTGGATGTGGAAAGCATCAGACTCGAGCCGTGGAAGGTCCAGCAGCACACCCAGCACTCCTCCGAGTCTTGGTGGCATTCGTGGCTCGAGTTACCCCTCTTATCTGTCCTTACTAAGGATCGTCTCCGTGCTCACGGTTCTGAGCACACAGACGACCGACACAGTTCTCCAGTCGATGCAGCACGCCACCCGAAACACGAAGATCGGAGCCACAAGCAGAAGGAGCCGGATCATCGCACTCCCCAGCACAGGCCACCCGAGCCTACGTCTCACAGCACTTCGGCTGCTTCTGCCTTGAGAGCAGCAAGCCACCAAGACCACCCCAGCCCTCGACACTCTCCGTCTCGAAAGGGCCAACACAGAGACAGCCCACCGGAGCTCGATCTGTCACATTCTCGTCACACAGCTCTCAAGGAGTTGCAGTGAAATGCCTTGCAGATGCGCATATGCTTATCCGAAACTTAGCAGTGGCCGTGACACCTTGGGATCAATTCGTCCGTGCTTAAGAGGAGTCGAAAGACAGAGAGCAACGGCACCGGTCTCGGGATTTTGCAGATGGCTCATGCTTACAGGTCCAGTCAGTGTCGCGATGCTTTGTTGCATTTTGTTGCGAAGACTCAGGCAAGCTTCCATTCCTTCATTTGTGATGTCTCAAAGTGAAGACCATGGTGCTGGACCAAGTGCCGTACGTATGGCCAACTCATCCTGCGCTCGGTCTACTCCCAAGCTGCCACCAACGCGCGCATTGAGGCAGACGAACTTCAACACTGGCTCCCCAAGGGACTGGAGCCGAGCTCAGATGTTTCGCCGGAAGGGTCCCCGGAGGTGTCGTGGGCACCTAGCTACATTTGCTGCTGTCAAGGAGAAAAAGCGGTGGATAGCAGCACCCTGGCTTGGAACTTCAGTTGTTCGCAGCAGTCGGTTCTATGAAGTCCGCAGCGCGTGCAGGGAAGGAGGTCAAGCTGGGCTCAGCAGCAGTGGTGGGGAGCCCCAGTTGAACGAATTCACCGTCAGACGCGACACGAGGCAGTTGCTTCGAACGTCTAAGGTTGAGTCGAAAGCCTTCGCAGAGCAACTGATTTCACAGGAGCGTGAGAAGCAAGGCTCTCATATTTGTGGCTGTATTGATCCACAAGTGCGGGCATTCTGAAGCTGTTCTTTGCAGATTCCGACTGAGAGCTGATAAGCTGAGGCTTTGCCCTCGACTTCCAAGTCGCATATCGCTGGAGATCCAGGCTGCCAACGCCAAAATCGCCGAGGCGGGCGGCGTCGCAGCCGCGGCAGTCTGTGAAGCCCAGCCGGATGCCAGGAGGTAACTTTTGTCTTCCGTGCGAAGCTGACCACGGAAGACCGTAACATTCCGAACCAGGCGGGGGCCGGGGAAAAGGGGGTTCCGAAGAAGCCTTCTAAGATGTATCCGCCGTGCGAGCCCACTACCACTGTCAACTGCACAGCTTGTCCATTACCGGGTTCACTTCGGACGCGGAGTTTCATGGAACAAAGACATAGACTGCGCGAGATGGTCTGGAGAACTTGGTGCCGGCTCAACGTAGTGGAGTGCCTGAAACCCGTAGGGGGTCGAAACTGAGATTTGCCGTAGCAAAGCGGCAGATGCAATCAGCCCTGGAGGGTAGTAGTGTCAGGCATGCCCATAGCTTTGTTGATATCACTGGCTCGAGATGACGAGCTGGAATTGAAACGTCCGCGTGAGCGCGTCTCCATGCAATTTGCGGGGAGCACGTCAACATGCAGGTGACAAACCCGAAACTTTAGCAAGCCCTTCTTCGACAGGCCAAGGAGATCTTACGAACAGGCATTGAGGCCGCCAGGGTGCACTGTCACTCAAGTGGTCGTCACATCACCAGACTGGCTGAGGTGGAATGGAAGGAGAGCTCTGCCGGCACGACGAATGACGAGCAGTCTGCGCCGTGGCCTGAGCAACCGCTTGAACCGAATCCTTCGACATTGCAGCGTCCTTCGCGCACTTTGAGGCTTGCTCGAGCGGAAGACGAGCTGTTAGAGAAAAACTCGGAGTGGGATCCCATCTCCCGCGGCGCAAAGCTTGCTGTTGCCTCAGGATGTGCAGTTTCCTGTCCCACGGAAGCTCCATGCTGCGTGCGGACGGAGTGCAGTGGCATCTTGGTCTTTTGCTTTCTCAGATTCTCCCACTTGCTGCCTGCGATCTCATGAACGAGACTTTCTCGCTGGTTTTGGCCTGAGAAAGCATATCGACGCTTGAGTACTGGAACTTGCATTCCAGCTTACAGATGGAAGCTGCCGTGGAAGCTGCCTCCATCGTCAGTGCAGTTGTGCCGATTTATCGATCCTCCTTCGTAGAAATATGTATTTCCAAAAGGATTGTGTAGCCAAGCAGTTGATGCCAACACGCCGGGGCGATAGCGACAATTCGTTCTGGTTCGGTCAGACCGCGTAAACTCAATCGTCAGGACGAACACAGGATCTGGAAACGATTCCGGGTCGGATCCATCAGCCTGCAATGTTGGCCTGAAAACTCTGCTGGAGATCATAGTTTCGATGGCATTTTGACACTTCCGATGCGGGCCCTTGTCGATGCTCTTCTTGGCGTGTCGTTGCGAGTCGAGCTGTGCGTGATATAGAATTTCAGCCCTCGCCAGGCTTTGTAAGGTCAATATGCAAAGCTCGGGATGTATTGCTCGTGCACTCCTCTGACCTGCTAAGATGTGCAAACGTGGTAAGAAGATTCATGTGCGTGGCCCAGAAGGGGGGGGAGAGCATGCTACGAGCTTGTTTCGCATTCGGAGTTTCGCAGAGGCTGACGGCAGCTCTGCTTCCCTTAGCGAGTTATGGCCTTACGCGGCAGCACAGTTTCGGAAGAGAACGGAGGCTTCCAGGCACGTGCAGGAAAGCACAGTTTTTCAAGTCATGCCGGGACAGCAGAGGCAAGAGAACTTCGTCAGTGAAGAGAATCAAGTTGAAGCTTCTCTCCGGCAGATCCGTCCCTGCCCCGGCAAGAAATGTGGCAGCATGCTGCCAGTGTATATCCGCCAGATAAACTGATGCATCAGCTGATGGGCTCAAGCGGATAGTTCGAGCGCGGAGCAGTGCGCCAGAACACGAGGTGAGACTTGGTGGCAGCTGGCTTTCGAAATTCCTGGAATCGGAAGCTTCTGCGTCGTTCTGTGTCTCAGGGCACTATGTTTCGTGTTCCGGCAGCAGCTCGGGCTCTTTGCCGGCCACGCGCTCATGTGACTTTCAAAAGGGGAGAATTAAGCCCTCGACGCAGGTTCCAACAAGCCGTGGCACTTGTCCCTCAGAGCCGGGCGGGTGCGGGCTCCTCAGGTCTTCTCCTGCGCTCATCATGTCTCACTCTCTCGCCACTAAGCACCCCAAGGCTGGTTTGCACCGGCTGAACTCCCGCAGATTTAGCGGAGTCCAGCGTGAGTCAATGGAGCTCTCATCTCAGCCTGTCAGTGGGGCACGATGATGTCACAGTGCGGAACTCGGGCAATACTGAGGTTTGACGTCCTGGTAGTTGGAGGCGGTGTTCCTGTTGGTTTGGAACAGGGAAGAAGTCTAAGATGTGATTTGCGGGATTGTCTGTGCTGCTAGAAGAGTCTTTTTGAGAAGGTTCCAGCAGCACATGACGAGTATATCCCCAAAGCTGGCTGGTCCCCAGAGTCCGTCAGGAGGGTGTCGGGCCGCCCAAGCGCGAAACTCTCCTAAACCGCGTGTGCCACTCACAGTGCCACAGCGCCAGTTGCCAGGCGTCTGGAGAGGTAGGAGGATGCGCAAATTTTGCAGAGTAATCAACTACAGTACAAGTCTCGGGCTTCGCCCTCGAGGGTTAACAGTGGCCGAGTCGAACAGTCGCCAAAGTCTTGAGTTGTAGAGCTGCGGCTTCAGCAAACATGATAGTGAATCTTCAGGTCCCTGCCTCTGTCAAGACAACATACAAGTCTGCAGAGTGTAGGCAGCGACAAAGAAAGACGCGATACGGTTTGCGTGCGATCGCGTGGCGGATGTCCGAAGCTACGGCAGAGGAGCCGAACGTCGCAGGTGGCCCTGCAGGCCTGGCGGCAGCGATCCGAGCGAAGCAGGTGGCGCAGGCGGCGGGACAGGAGCTCAGCGCCCGGCGCCCCAGGTGCAATGCAGAGCCCAGAGGGATAGAGCCCCCAAGAACCCTGGTCGCTGGTTTTCGAGGTCTGTGTTGTTGAGAAGGGCCAGGATCCCAGCGGAAGATCAATTTCTCCCTGCAAGAGCACTTGCAGTGCCAGTGCCTCCCTCCGCCGAGGTGCTGAAATCGGGGCACACATTCTCTCCGGCAACGTCTTCGAGCCACGAGCTCTTCAGGAGCTTGGCAAGTGCCATCTGGGCGGCAAAGGGGCCCTGGAACCTCCAGCACTCGGATGTGCCGAAGCTGAAATGTGCGCGGCGCATTCAACAGGAGCTCTTCCCAGACTGGAAGGATCGAGGAGCGCCATTGGACACGCCGGTGACCAGTGATTCGTTCTACTGGTTTCTTGATCGCAGCCTGAGACTGGAGATGACCGGGGCGGCAGTGTCACAAGTTTTGGGATATACTGTTAGAGTTCTGTGAGGAGCATAGACTCAGAAGAATTGTTTGCAATGCATCGTGAAGTGAGTTGCCAGTGCAGCGGGTGGCCTTGCAGGCTTCCCAACGGGAAGCACGCGGTGCCCATGCCTGGCCCCCTTCTGCACATAGCGCCGGAGATGCGGCAGAAGGTGCGAGGGGAGGGCCCTGGGCCCTGCCTGCGTTGCATGTCGTCGCCTGCGCCCTCGCAGGGCAACTACGTGATCTCCTTGGGGCAGCTGTGCCGGTGGCTCTCAGAGCAGGCGGAGGAGGTGGGCGTCGAGATTTATGCAGGCCAGACCCGCAGCATACCGCAGCAGCTGCGGAGCTAGCCCATCCCCCACCTCCTTCAACCTCCTTCGGAGGCTTTGCTGCAGATGCCCCCGTCTTCGTGGATGGTGCCCTTGCTGGCGTACAGCTACGGGACGTGGGCATCGGCAAGGACGGCAAGGAGAAGGACACCTTTGAAGCAGGCCGATGTTCAGCATCGTCTTCCTGGATCCAAGAAGTCCAAGCTGTCTCTGGAGGCATGCATCTGCTTGGCAAGCAGACCATCCTTGCCGAAGGACCACCTCCGGTTGCCCTCCCTAGGCTCAGCAAAGTCAGAGTTGTGTTTTTCAGGCTGTCGGGGCTCCTTGAGCGAGATGCTGATGAAGCAGTACAACCTTAGAGAAGGCTCGGAGCCTCCTTTGCCAATGGCACTCGTTGCACACGCAATGTGGTTCAACACCCGTCAGGTGTATCCCCACAGCACTATGGCCTCGGTGTGAAAGAGGTCTGGGAGATCCGCCCAGAGAACCACCGCGCAGGAACGGTAACGCACACGGTTGGTTGGCCGCTGGACATGTGGAGCTATGGTGGCTCTTTCATCTATCACATGAAGCCAAACCTGCTCCACATAGGCGGGCTCCGGGGGGGTCTTTGAGCAGACCGGAGGGATTCATGTCTCTCAGAGGTATGGTGGTTGGCCTCGATTATGCCAACCCCTACATGAGCCTCGGCACCAGTGATGCAGATGCCTTCTTTTTCTTTTGCCGTATCTGTTCACCTCAGGAGCCCCTACCAGGAGTTTCAGCGCTTCAAGCAGCATCCTCGAGTCCAGGCCCTTCTCGAGGCTTCTCGGCGGAGGTCGTCGTGAGTCCGAAGTGCATCGTGTACACCGGCACAACACAAGTTCGAACCACACCGAAATACATCGCAGTCTCGCAGATCGTAGAGATGTACACCAACCCACGGTCTCATATTTCATTGCTCAACATGACACTCTGTTGTACGATGTTCGGCTTGGCTTTGCCGTGCTTCGCCATGTCTTGTGACACGATAGCACGCTGGAACTTCCAATCTTCTACCTGACACGACGGTGCATCACTTAGCAGTATTCTCGCGCCATCTTCTCTTTTTGTTTCCGTGGTGCCATACTGTGGTCGCCGTCGCTCTCCATATCAAGCGAACATCGGAAGTACGTTGCGCTGTAGTACGATTTCAATGGGCTTCTGGCACGTCTCGAGTTTACAGCCGAAGATGATCGTCGAACTGTTGCCAGTTCCACTTTGTTGTATAGTCTGCATATCACCTCTACACCATCTCATTACACAGTTGCCGGCTTTGCACTTGGGCATACTATGTCAGGTTCTGCTATCTGGATTTTGCTACATAGTGTTGCTCTGCTACATGGGACTGTATACTTTGTTCCGATGTGAAGCAGAGCCGGTGATCTGCCAAGATGCACGAGTGCAGTTCAAGTGTGTCACAAGTGTTTGCTGAGGGCGGCACCTGCCTCTCCTACGGCGCGCGCTGCCTTAACGAGGGCGGGGCCCAAGCGGTGCCCAAGCTCACCTTCCCTGGAGGGATGCTCACAGGCGCCGAGGGGGGGGGAGTTCAGACTTTTGTGGCCTGAGGGCCGTTGTTTACTTGGGGCCTTTTCTTTGTGGGTCCCGAGTTTTGTTTCTTCCCCGAGGCTGCAGCGCTGGGTTCCTGAATGTGCCAAAGATCAAAGGCAGCCACACAGCGATGAAGCTGCTGGGCTGGAAATGTTCAGTGGCTTTCTGGTCTTATCTAGGCTTTTCCTTACAGTTCCAGCGTTCTTGGGTTTTGTTCCCCCAAGCTGTGTGGAAGCGCCGTAGTAACAGTACGGAATTCTTAGTTTCGGATAAAGGGTACATGGTCACTGTTCCCGTCAGGTACGATCGGCAGGTGCGCACGGTGCTACATCGTTTCGTTTCCATACCTGTCCATCAGGGATCCCCGAATCTGTGTAAAATCTACTGCTGCCTCAGCGATGTCCACGCGCTCTCGCCACCGTGCTGTGTGTTTTTCGGGGTGCCCATGTTCTTCCCTCCACCTCCCGAGATCCTGCTCTCGCCGTGCACACTGTTGCCTGCTGTGTGTGTTTCGCCCCAGGCCCGTGCATGTGGGCTGGGGCTCGTGTTCCTGCCCGGTGCCCGTGCTCGCTGCTCGCGTCGGCCACAACGGGCCGCAGTGTGCGCATTTTGGGCTCGTGCATCTCGTGCATGTCTCAGGGAGCCTCAAAGGTGCTCTCGGAATCTTGGGTCCTCTGTGCCGTTTGCGCTTGCGTAATTACATGGTTTTCACTGGATTCTATTGTCCGTGGGGACGTCCGCGACTTTTTGTGTAAAAAGCAATCAGGACGGGGATGCTGGCGGGAGCTGCTGCCGCAGAGGCGGTGCTGGGAGGCAGTGCTTCTGGCCAAGAGGTGCAGATTCCCGCAAGTGGGTTTAGGGCGTTGGTACAGCGAGCGAGCTTGACCGGCAAGTAGCAGCACTCTTGAGCCAGTTAGGTGAAAAAGTACGAAGCGGACGTCCGTTCGTCGTGGGTTTGGGACGAGCTGATGCGGGTCCGGAACTTCAAGCCAGTGCGGGGCCCTGCTGCTGCCTCTTTCTGGAGCTGCCTGTGTTGGGGCTTTTCACACAGCTGGTGGGGGCTTGTGTGGAGGCCTGGCATGCTGGGATGTGGCCAGGGCTGAGCTACGGCGGCATGACACTGATGCTCAGTCGTGGAAAGGACACGTGTCTCAGAAACTGAGAAGTGACGTAAAGGTAACCTGGATCGCGGCTAGTTGTGAACCTGCGCATTTACGTCCTTTCTGAGTCAAAGGACAAAGCAACCCCTTTCTGTTCTTTGTATTCTCTGTCCTGGTTGAGGAGCCCTGGACTTTCCGGTGGTCGAAGAAAGACAGTGACTTTGCCATTGTGTTCTCCCTTCGTTGACAGGTTCCAGCCTTTTTTGATGAGTTCCTCGGTGCTAAGGCGACTACACGAAGCCAGCAGCTGCACCACGACTGGTTCAGACGGGCAGTGCGTTGGCAGTGGGAAGACTGAAGTCCAAGGACTGCCAGAAGATTGAGTATCCAAAGCCGGATGGCGTGTTCTCCTTCGATCTGCTGGAAAACCTAGCTCGAAGCAGCTGCCTCAGACCTGTCAGCTTTGGACTTCTTCCCGCTCTCGTAGAGAATCCGGCTTGAAGGTGGGGTCAACCATGAGCACGACCAGCCTGCGCACCTCAAAGTGAAAGACGAGCACGCGTCTCTCGGCCGCGGCCAAGTTGTGAGCTGTCCGAGGACATCCATGTCCACCGCATAAGTTCTTATGACCTTAGGCAAGTGCCCCTGGGAGTCTCCCTGCCGCTCTATGATGGGCCCGAGGGGCGTTTTTGCCCTGCGAAGGTCTACGAGCAGCTCGGAATTCAGATGGGGCACAAGGGAGAGCCCAATTGCCTACGAGCGTGTCTGAGCAGTTTGCAAATCGTCAGGTATGTGCCAGATGAGGAGGCAGAAGGAAAAATGAAATTGCAGATCAATGCGCAGAACTGCGTCCACTGCAAATGCTGCTCGATAAAAACCCCGAAGGAGCACGGGGTTAAGCGGCTAATGGTAGTGTTGGGAGTCCCCTCCCTCCCCCGCCTACCTGCCTGCCTGCCTGCAGGAGTTCATCAACTGGACCGTTCCTGAAGGTGGAGGTGGTCCACAGTACGCGGCAATGTGACTCCCGTGAATGCCTTGCGAAATGTACATACGAAGATACTTACGGGCGATCAGGATCCATTCAGCCATCGGCCGCATGTAGCGAGCTGCAAAGATCTCCTGTAGGTTTGTCTTCAGGCTGCCGACGTTTAGGCCCCTGTCAAACAACGGGGGCTCGTCTTAGTGTAGCACTTCGCAGGTGTTCGAAAGTGGAATCTGCGGGCGGAAGTGTGTGGTCCCAGGAACGAACAACATTAGCCAAAGTTGAGTTCTGCGGCCCATGCTGCCCCCCAGTGCCTAGATTCTAGATGGTTATTTGGACCAGCTTGCGACGAAGTGAAAGTAAAGGTTGCACGCAGCATGTACTAAGTTGCAAACCCTGTCAGCGTGAACAAGAAATGCTGCCCACGTCACTGACAGCAGGATCCACCACCATGTCTCAATTTTCTGGTAGAGCGATAAGAGCGGATACTCGTAGATGCATCGCCGCGGTAGACAGCATTGGACAGCCTTTAAGCGCCAAGGTGAACTTTATCTCAGCCTTCCTGGTGGCCTTGGTGTCATTGTCGACGAGGAACGGAAGGCACGCAGTAAGTCCCAGACTGCAACATACAGTGGTCGATCTTCTTCTGCCGTATGCCGTCAGGCATATGCAGTGGGGCTGAAGCGTCAGGAGCACCTGGCAGCTCGGGCATCTCGGCAAGAATTTGCCTCTGCCAGTTGAAGATGTGGGCAGCGTCGCCTTGACTCAGGACCCGCACCGGAGGTCTTTGATGCAGACAGGTTCAGTGAACACGGCTTTTCCGTCGAGCTTCAGCCATCCCGGGCCCGTTTTTGCTTGTCCTTGTCGCGGGCACGGCATGCAGTCAGCCAGGTTGGCTGCGGGAGAGGCCACAGTGTCTGGACTACGTGCACAACCAGGTCAGCGGGGGACTCCGGAAAGACGGCCGAGTGGGGATCCTCGCCAGGGCGACTGCGGAGCCTGCTACATGTTTGCCGCTTTGGACTCCCTGTCGGATCGCCACTGCATCGACGCAACCAACGCAGAGCGCTCGGATTCGAGCTCTGCCGTGCAGAGCCCTCCTGAAGATTCTTATACTTCCCGTGCAGAATGTCACCCCTTCAGGCTTCACGACTTGGCAAAGTGGATCATCTGTCTGTGCAGATGGCCTTGCTCTGCGAGCCTTTAGGCTGGGGCTTGTTGGCAGACTGGCAGATAGAGGCAGACCGCCCCATGCCTGACGGAGGCCGCCAGTGTTCAGGCGGCTGGGCAGACGTGGGCTTCAACTACTCTGTGTGCGCCAAGCATTTTCGGAAGTGCGTACAATCCAAACCACGGGCCTGGCCGGCCGGAGGTATTTTGGCCTGCAGACGGCTTCGAAGTGGCCCTACGAGCGGAGCTGCCTCTCAGACTCCGAGTGTCAGTTCGGAAAGCAGTGTGGCTGCCTCAGACTTCGTAAAATTCGAACCGGAGCACCGAGCACTCTTGTGCTCTCTCTGAGGCTTCTCCCCCTCGAGCTATGGATGTCCAAGCTTCTTCTCGCAGGCTCAGCTGACCTCTCGCAGGATGCCGCAGTTCAGTGGAATCTTCAAAACGACAGGAAGAGCTGGACGGAATTGCCACATTCAGCGATGCTTTGCGAGCCGGCAGCCGAGGGGCCGGAAAGGATTTCTGGGTCTCTCCAGCCACTGCCTCTTGTAAAGAGGTGACGAAGCACAAGTGCGAGACTTCGCAGCTTGAAGATCCTGATAGCTGCAAGGTGCAGTACCGGCAGTAGCCTGCCAGCTCTTTGAAGACTGTCCGTGACTGTCTGCAGGTTTGGGCAGACACCATGTTTGCCATGTCGCCAACAATGGTCTTCATGCCAGCTGCAGCCCTGGTGTGGGCTACGAGCCGTGCCCTCTATAAGCCCCTTTTCGCCGTGGGTGGCCCGAGGAGAGCTGCTTCTGCGCAGAGCTCGTGGCGGACTGGGAGACGCGGCTCACCCAAGACCAAGAAGAGAGGCCGTCATGTCATGCCCTTTTTTGTTTTGCATGTTTTCTGAGGTTCCATGCCAGCAAGAACGCACCCTGCAGCAGCGAGCCAAGCGGCGAAGCGGCTGATCCTCGTGAACCATCGCGGCCTCGCAGACCGAGGCCATCATGGTGATGGCAGCGGAGTTCCATCGATTCTGCTCCAGGCTGGCCAGAGCCCAGTCTCGCCATGTCTCGCCATGTCTCGTCTCGTTTCAAGGAGCATCGCCGCGAGGACGATGATGACGATGAGGAGAACAGTGGGTGTCCCGCCAAGTTTGCGATTTTGGATGAGGCTTCTGACGGACATGGATTGAATCTTGGCAGGTTCAATTTCTTCCATTGGCTTTCCAGCCTCTTCTTTGGAAGTCCGGAGGAGGAGCAGAGCCGTCCTTGTTGGGATTGGTGCACTCGGTCAAGCGTGTTGCCAGGAAAAAAAATCTCAGGACCTGCGCTGCGTCTGGTGGCTTGCTGGAGAGGCTTCGGTCTGCTGTTGTCTTGGGAGGACAGCACAACCCAAGGCTGGAACTCCGACATCCCAGGACGGACAGCGTGCACGAGCCTGTTGTTCCTTGCCACTAGAATCACTAGAAGCAGGCGGTTCATGGTCTTCGAACTCGAATTCCAAGTCTGCAGCAGCCTCGATGCATCTCGATGGAGTTCGAGAGAATTTTCAGCGCATGGAGCGACCGACCTGAGGCCTCCTCGGTCACGCTAACGACGACCACAGTGGAGCCGAGGGTTGGTACCAAGCTGTGCACAGAAGCCCCACCTCGCTCTTTCGGAGTTTTTGCGGGTCTTCCTGGCTTAATCCTGCCTCTCTCTCTTTCTTTCAGCATCGGTCTGCCGGGCTGCCAAGGCTTCTGAGCGAGCTCATGAAG